GTTGAGGAGAACTGTGCGGTGCGACAGCAGCTCCGTCTGGGAATCTGCTAGAATCAGCCAGTCGTCCAGATAATTCAGTATGCGCAGCCCCTGACTTCGCAGGGGGCGAGCGCTGTATCCATGCACTTCGTGAACGTACGGGGTGCTAAGGATAGGCCGAACGGGAGAACGGCATACTGGTAAACTTGGCCCTCGAAGGCGAAACGTAGGAATGGCCTGTGATGAGGGTTTATCTGGATCTGAAAATAGGCGTCTTTCAGGTCTAGAGAGATGAACCAGTCCCCCTGGCGGACGTGCGCGAGGAGTTTCCTGACTGTGAGCATTTTGAACGGTCTCTTCATGAGCGCTTTGTTCAAAGCCCTGAGATCTAAGATCGGCCTGAGGCCGCCGTCTTTCTTGGGGACCAGAAAATAACGGCCGTAAAACCCCGACTCGGTCATAGATGGCGGGACTCTCTCTATAGCGCCCTTCTGCAGTAGCTTGGCTATTTCTAAGCAAAGCGTGTTCATAGCAGCCGGGCTGACAGTGGATTCGAGCCGCACGCGCGAGCGTGGCGGGCGGCGACGAAACTGTAATCGATAACCATTCTTTATTATGCTTAAAACCCACGGGGAGATGCCGGGGATGGCTTCCCACGCTTTGTAGCATACGGCTAGTGGTTGAATGGCGATTTCGCCCTGATTGCTGCACATTGCGGGCTGGACACTGGGTGTGGGCTCGCTTATAATGTGGAAGGCAACGGGACTTACACTCAGAGAGGAGTTTAAGGGCCTTGAGACAGAGCGGGCAGAGGGGGGACACGCGCACGGGCTCGTGGGCGTGCTTATGTTCTCTGCTGCTGGAGCGGAAAGTGCACGCTCCGTGAGAATGGGCTCTGCGAGAGACCCTGGGCATAAAGTGCTTGTGTGTGTACGTGAGCACATGGTTGTGGGCACATTTTTTACACTTGAGGCTTTTATGCTCTTTTTGTGAACTCTCTGGGTAGCCGTGAAAACGGCTTTTAGTCGCTCGCAAGCGGGCAGGGAAACCGGCTTGTTTGTGGCGGTAAACACTACTGTAGTCAGCGGTGAGACGGGGACTAACAGTGGGCGAAGCTTTGACGGCGGTCCGGCCGCAGCGGGAGAAAACCGTCTTTTTCTCAGCTGTGCTAGGCAGACTTCTGTTGATCAGGCTTCAGCGTGATCTTGGGTCGAGGCCCCGGGGCGGAGGCTGTCTGCGGCGGCTGTCTGAGCGAGAGCGAGGGCGGCCGCCCTGTCTACGCTGGGGCTGCTGAGCTTGCTGAGGCGGGCGCTGCTGTGTGGTTCTGGCAGGCGGCTCGTGAGAACGGCCCGTCGAAGAACTCGAGCGGCGGGGCAGGAACAAGTTCATGGCCTGAGTCGCTTTTTGAACTTCGGAGAAGCGGTCAACGATGCCCGTAACGGCGGATCCGAAGAGCCCGGTGGGGGAAATAGGCGCGTTGAGGAACGCGGCACGTTCTGACTCTCCCATGTCGGTCAGCGTGAGCCATAAGTGTCTCTCGGCGACACAGAGGGCGGCCATGCATCTCCCTAGAGCTTGTGCGGCGGCTTTAGTGGCGCGAAGGGAAAGATCCGTAGCGCTTCTCAGATCCGAAAGGACGAGCGGTTGCCTCCCGCTGCTCGCCATTTCACACAAGATGTCGCTCTGGAGCACCTGGAGGACAGACATCGAATGCAGCGCTGAAGCGGCCTGACCGGTGGCGGAATAGGCGCGGGCATGAAAGTTGGAGGTCGCTCTGCACGCTTTTGAGGGAAGCGTATGAGCAGACCGCCATCTAGCAGAGGGCGGGCAGAGATGAGCGGCGACCGAGTCCTCGACGGGCGGCATGGCAGTATAACCCTTCTCGGCAGCTCAGTCCACTGAGCGCAGCGAAGCGGACACATCAGAGCGATTACGAGCCGAGAGAGGAGCATTCCAGGACTTCGTGAGCTCGCTGTGAAGCTCAGGCAGGAAGGGTGCAGCCCGGCTGCAGGCGGGGGCCGGGCGCCGGTGCAGGAACTTTCCATCCATGCGGTTCGGTGGTTGCTCAGGGGGAGGAGACCACTCGAGACCCAGGCGGCTAACGGCCTGAGAAAGGAGGCGCGTTAGTTCCTCCTCGATGCCGGCGCGGGTCCCCGCAGACTCTCTAGTCGATGAGCCGATCGACGACCAATCCTCGCTGTCCGAAGCGTGCAGCGAACAAGAGTCCTTCTCATCCGCGGTGTCCTCGGAGGCGACAGAGCGGCCACTCGGCGGCAACTGTAAGTCCGGCAGGGGCGGAGAGGGAGAGCGGTCGGTGGGCGGCGGCGGCGGCCCACATGGATCCGCAGAGGGCTCCGGCAGCCTCTGGGAGCGGCGTTTCTTCTTCCGCGGCGAAGTTAGAGGCGGCGCTGGAGCGGTTTTGACCGCCTGTAGTCGAGCCCGCAGGGTTGACAGCGGCAGGTCCTCGCAGTGGTCGCATCCTCCGTTGGCGAGGGCGAGTTCTGCGTGTTCCACTCCGAGGCAGAGAGCGCAGATGGGGTGGCGGTCTCCATCCTCGAGCGGAGAGCGGCAAGAGCCGCAGGAATTACGAGGCATCTTTAAAAAGACGCTCGTGCTCTTTTAGCAGGAATAATAAAGAAAGGATACGCGTCGGATGGCGCTAGCTTGCTGGGCGGCTGAAGGTGGCAGACGGCCGGCTTCCTCAGACTCCGGAGCTCGCTAGACGGTGCCTTCTCAACGACGGCGGCTTCTTCCCAGAACAGCGGATGCGTGTAGCTCGCTGAATGAACAAGAATCAACGAACGAGCTGGGAGAGCGACCTTTATACACTGTAGCCACGCCCCTTTTGGCGGGCTGTGACGCAGTAAGCGAGCGCCGTCCGCTCATTGGCCGCGGACTCAGCGCCGCTCTCCCATAGGTTCGTGCATTCTCTCTGAGCGAACCAATGAGCCGCTAGCTAGCCCGCTCATGGTCTGCCTCAGAAGAGACTGCGTTGACAATGATTACAAAATTATGGAATAATTTTTTGGCTTCAACTTCTCAGCAAAGATGAATCTTTCCCGTAGCGTAAGCTAGCTTACGCAATACGAGAGAACCTCTCGTAAGAGAACTACATTTTTTACCTAGACCCACACATTTTGTGAATATTCAAATTATCCTGTTTAAATGTTTTATTGGTTCAGTCTGAACATTTTGAACAATAATTATTAAATCAAACAACAATATTGTTAATGATAATTTAAAAGTTAATTTTATTTTTTTCCAAAACGCTATAAATACATCCTTTTTTTTGCATCATTTTTAGTAAAGTCATTTTTAGTAAAGTGTCAAACCTCAAACAAATACTACCAATTTCAACATATGCATGAAAAAAAAAACGAATTATTAAAAATGATCAATAATGATAACGATATTCAAAAAAGGGATGGGCACCCCTCCAGCACATGCACACACACACAGGCTACATAACATGTGAGCAAAGCGGAGCAGCATGACGCTTAAATACAAGTAAAAAAAAACAAAAACAAAATAAACATAGGCTACGTTTCACATTTGTGTTTAATAATATTACATTACTTATTTTTATTATTTCATCTATGTTGAGTAGGCTATGAAAAGGGAACCGCATGAGATGAGTAAGATAGGATCAAAATTCAAAAGCTGCCCAATATCGGAAAATATTTGGAGTGTGTCAGACATGATTTTGACCACTTATTAAGTTCTGTTTTGTAGAAAGCTTGTAAATTTCGTTTCATATAAATTGTATCTTCATTTTAATAAATGTTTCATCGACAAATTGACTGGATTAATACATTAGAAGTAAATATCAGACAATATAATCAGGACACAGAGGCGCGCAGGTGAACCGGAGCGCGTCTCATATATGAACCGAAACACCGCGACGCTTGCCTCACACAGGCCTGTGAACGAGGCTACAGAAAGCTTTAAATGTCTACTTTTAAACAAAACAATTAAAAACTAAAATAAATTGGCAACTCTCTGCGTATAGGCTAATTCAAAGTATGCGTTCCTCTAGGCCTATGCGCGTTCACTGCGAAGATCGCGAGTAAGCATCAACTTTATCTTTGCTGCTGACACTGACAGAAAACACTAGTTTAATAATAAACAATTCAAATGTTTCATGGATAATCATTACTTTTGCCGGTTCTTTGTGGCAAGCTTTATGCATACGCTGAGATGCGGAATAGGCAATTAAAAACGCTCATATGGTTTCTCTCCCATTTAATTAAATCAATATATGTGATTACTGATAATACAAATGGCTTAAATGATCTACTACTAGTCGACTACTAGGACTCATTTTGAGGAATGAATGAACATAATAAACCTCTGTTCAGAGTGCCGCTGTGCTGGATTGCGTAGAACGCTCATTGAATTTGATGATTTATCGCATTTAGCCTAAAAACAGGACTGGCGCTTATTGCGTTTTGGAAAGAAACTGTATCTTGCAGTACATTTTAAACAAGGAAATATACCGATTTGGCATGAAACGTTGATGGAGCAGTGAAAGGGTTCTGTCCACAGCAGAATGACACGACAAACTCATTTTTTTTTAAAATGACGTTTATCGCGGTTTGGAAAAGAGCTCTTCATATATATATATATATATATATATATATATATATATATATATATATATATATATATTAATAATCCAAAAACGATTTTGATAGTTTTAGTTAAACAACACTGATTTATTTTAAGCTTCAATGTTTTATATAATATATAAACATAACCATCATAACAACTCTGCCAGAGCCTCTAAGGCAAAGATTTCTTTGCAGAAGCAATTAATTGGGCATCAGTGAGCATGTCACACTGAGGGGCTTAGGCGATCCAAGACTGCCAGTTTCACCCTATGATGGAATCTTTTATTATCCCTGAAATTAGACTGCAAATGTGGCAAGAATCGCACTGTGTTCACCCAGCTTTTGACCATTAGACTCTCTTGTGCATCCATCTGAATTTTATTTCTATCCTGCTGGTTGCATATGTGTTACCTGAGGGATTCTTGAGATAATATCAGGGTATTTGCTTGTGTTGTCCTCTTGGTTTCGGCTAAAAATGCGTACATCTCCATTCTCAAGAATATGGACCTATTTGATGCAAAGCACAAAAAAAAAAAACAATTAACAATTCAATCAATGATATTGCTATGGAAACAAAGTCATTTCTATGGCAGAGGCTCCACCTTGTGGAAAAAGATAAAATAACACTCACCTGTGCCCTCTCTCCATCGTATTTATATTCGCAGGTGAAAGATGCCTCATCAAAACGTTTCATTACCTCACCGACCCCTTTAGTTGGGTGAGCTAACATGGGTCGCAGGGGCACACCTGTAAAAAAAACACTGTTTAATCTCATTTTAAACTACATTTTCAACTAGATGGTGGGAGAACTGAGCCAACTGTGATTGGTCAGTACCTGGGGTGAGCTTGCAGTGATTGGGCAGTTCATCTATGCCATCCTTCAGCAATACAGGAATGATTGCATCATAATTGGGCATCTCACTGGAAAGAAAAATATAAGCGAAAGCAATGAAAATATTATTTGTATTCATTGGTGATATGTAGTGACTGCAACAATTGGGAAAATATCTGACTTCCTGTAGGGTACACATTATGCTAATTCTCATTAAACAGGCACTTGTTATGCAGCGGACACCTGTAAGTCGTAATTGAAATATTGTTTGTAGTATACGGATAATTATCCCTCACAGCACCGGTTGGTGTTTGACAATCAGGTTGGGCTCATTCTGTGTATATTTCCACTCATACTAGAAACAGCTAATAGGGATAAAAAAAATCTTGATATTTTCAGGCTTTTGACAGTATCCATCCAGTATAAAAATATTAATACAAAAATTACAAACAACGAAATGTGTGCATATGAATATTCTATATAGTTACCCAAACATTTTCACAAAAATTAACCGGACTTCCTAAATCTTTTGCTAATGAAACCTAATTAAAATATCTTACAGCTTTCATTAAGACAAGAAGCCTGAAACCAAACTACTGACAAGGTATTAATTAGCCAAATAAAAAAAGAATTAATACCACATGAATCAAAAAATCTCTTGACATTATTCAGCTTTTGAGGGGTATTCGATACATCTCACGCTCTTTACAATGGTGTTTTCTCCCAATTAGACGAACCAAAATATAGTTGAGTGAACATTTATGCTATGGTTGCATTTATAAAATACAGAAAAAATATACAATTGTGAAAAATTATTGTATCATTCATTCATGCATATTTTAAAATGTAATTTATTTTTGTGTTGGCAAAGCAAACTTTAACTTCTTATAACTTTTAAATGCATTTATTGTCACTTATGAACTATTTTGATCAGGGTCTTGCTGAATAGAAGCATTCATTTATATTTTAAAAATAAATAAATAATAATAATTATTATTATAATATATACAGTCTCACCAGTATGTCTGTTTCAGGATCAGTGCTTTTTCCTCCAGCCACACTTTCTTGTTTTCTGAACTCTTTCCTTTCCCTGCATCCAGCACAGCTGGTGGGAACTCTAAATCAACACAAGAAAAACAAATTAGCAGCATTCTAAACCAAATGGACACCTAATTAATATTAACATGTTTAAGTGTTATTCATTTTTTATTCATCACGACAGAGAGTAAAGTAATTGCAAATGCCAGATGCCTGGAGGTTCTATCAATGCTCTGATTATGATGCGTGTTAATGCCAATTTCATTAGGATCATTTCAAACCTTGGCCCGGGGGCGTCAGACACACAGCCTGACTGAGAGCAGCGAGAACACTCTGCTCAGCCAATCCGATCCGCAGCTTCCCCGCCAATGACCTGTCAATCACACAAGCAACCAATCAAACTAACATATTTCATTTCAGCATTATTATTCATATAAATCTGTCAGCATACAGCAGTTTAATCAAGGCCAGCGGCGCATCATTTAGAATTAGGAAAAATCAACTGTCATAAATAAATTAAATTCATTATTGTGTGTATTTCCAGAATGTACTCAACATTTCTGCATGGTTGGTCAGATGTGAAATTTAAATAGTTATAAGTCAAAGGTTTATTACGTACCGCACAATGTATCGGGCCTCGGAAAACCGACACGCCACAAACAACCCTTTAATAATGTCAATCTTCTTATTCATTACCTGACAGAGAGAGGAAGTTGATTTTCTTTGAGAACAGAAGATAAACAGATATGCGGTACATGGCCAAAACTGAAACATCGTGGGTGAATGTTTTTATTTTAAGAAATTAATACTTTTACTCAGTAAGTACACATTAAAATGATTAAAGCGACAGTAAAATTTCCATTTCAAATTAATGCTGTTCTTTAGTTTTCTAATCAAAGAATCATGAACAAAATGCATCATAATTTCCACACAACTTTCTTTTAGCATTTATAATATTAAGATATGTTTCTTGAAACAAAATCACCATATGAGAATGATTTCTGAATGATCATGTGACAATGAAGACTGGAGTAATGATGCTGAAAATTCAGCTTTGCATCACAGAAATATATTAGGCTACATCTTAAAATATATTCAAATAGAAAATAGCTATTTTAAATTATAATGACATATTTTTTATTTTTAACATTACTATTTGTACTTTGTATCTATCAAACAGCTTTGGTAAACATGAACCCAGTCCTAATTAAAAGGTTTTGCATTTATATTGTTTATATAGTTTATATATGGCATATAGTGCATGTTTCCTGAAGCGCAACTAAAGCATGATGCTATCAACACCAAGCCATTATAAAGCCATTAAAAATATATATATATATAATAATTATATGCATATTATTGCAGATGATAGACATCACACACCCCTATACATGTACTCATAAAATATACCTTGAATACATTTTAATGGCTCGTTTCCACTGAGTGGTACGGTACGGTACAGTTCGGTTCGGTACGCAATTATTTGCGTTTCCACTGTCAAAACTTGTGAATGGTACCAAAAAGCCGAACCGTACCGTACCACTTTTTGGGTACCCTTCCGTAGGGGTACCTAGCGCAGTGAAAGGTTACTAAAAGGTGGAGCTAGACTCACTGCAGAACACTGATTGGTGGAGAGATATCGTCACTCGTGCGTGCTAGAAGGGCATTAGAAGCATACAGTTGAAATATAATTCTACTGTTATTGTGTCACGAAATGTAGTTTTAAGAGTTTTTCAGGCGAGAAAGTAGTTTTTTAAAGCTCAAATCTGTGGTTTATTTATAGATTTATGATAATTTGACTGAGATCCATTCCAAGCGATCACCGGACGCTCGCGCTCGTGTCCCCCGCCTGGAACAGCCTTTCCTCGGCTAGTCGTCCTGATGTTTGCCGCTGACTCGGATGTCTCTGTAGTGGTTAAACATGAGATATAGTTCGTCTTGTATAAACCTAACAGGTGAACTTTGGTCTCGTGAATCTATAATTCGTTCCCTGGCCAATAGTTTTGGCAGAAGGTTACGTGAAGTTTCATATCTTTGAGCGCTGAGTATATTTGACTGACTGAATTGTTTCTTGATGTTACATTTAAGCTTTAGTAAAGCTTAAATGTAACATCAAGAAACAATTCAGTCAGTACTGTATATCTTTTTGTACTTTTTACTTATACTTGTATAATGGCTATTATTGATAAAACTGAAATTCAACAAAAAGAGATAGTTTTGTCATTTTTTATTTTATTACAAGATCATCTGTTGTTTATTGCAACATTTGTACCAATGCGATAGCCTATGCAATACATTAGGCTACATATTGCCTGGAATATGTTTAATATTTTTACATTTAAACGAAAAGAGGCAGGGTTGTTTTATATTTAGTTTTGTTATAAATAACGTTACATGCAGTGAATATAATCAAGGCTATGCGTTGCACATTTGTGTGCTTTAGAATGTTTAAAATGTATTGAAATGAAATCGAAAGCAGAGTGCAGAGCAGAGTGGTGTTTTATAACATATTTCGTTTTATTGTTGCCTAAAATTAACATACAGAGATAACCGGAGTTGCATAGCCAGAGCGAGCTGAGTGCTGCCTTCAAGAACGCGCTGGTGACTGGTCCATAAACAGCATTACTGGACTCGCGTCCTCGGGATCATTCTCCTGAGTCGGACTTTGCGTTGGCTTCTTGGAAACGCCTAATGCCAGCGCTTGTTTCTAGTGACAAACATGCCGAGAAGCAAGAACAAGATCTGCTGTCTGTCATCCATTGTTGTTTACTATGTCGCTTTCTTCGCGCGAAAATGACGTCGATCGCTTCTTTCCAGCATACCACGCCTATCAAGTAAGGGTACTGTTGGCGGTGGAAACGCAAGCCTGATAATGGTGTACCCGACCCGACCCGTACTGTACTGTACCGTACCGTACCCCTCAGTGGAAACGAGGCATAAGTGACAAGGTGTACTTTATTCTCATCTGTACTTACAGAGTTTCCACTCATGTTAGCAATCTCTTTCAGTTTGTTGAAAACACCCACTGCGGTCAGAATGGACGGTTTAAACATCATTCTCTGATTGCTGCGGGAACTCTCAGCAACCAATCCCAGGTCACCTTTCTCCTGAGCCTCCGCCTTGATTTTGTCCAACTGTCGGCCTGGTAACAGAAGTCAACAGTACAGGGGTCAGGCAAAGAGAATGGTGAATGGCATTAGGGAAAGGGAACACGCATATATTTACCGGTTGCTTGAGCGACGGCTTTCATCAGGACAGTCTCCCCGATGCCCAGCTCCAGACCCTGATACGCAGGGCCGAGCTGGTTCAGACACAGGTATACACAACATAACAGGTCATCTAAACAAACAACAGAGTAATGAACAGATGGAAACAGTGAAGCTTGGACATTTCAAATGTATACTACATTTTTTGTGCTTTGCACAAGATAGTCTTTTTCTTCAATCTGTCTCCCTAACAAGAGCAATAATCTATTCATCTATTCATTACTTGGACAAAAAGGAAGAAAAACCATCTCTGTCTAGCATAATTAACAACCTATTTAAACCCCATGAATCAATTAACACACTCACCTGGAGTAAGAAGAATTACAGAGCGCAAAAAGTTGGAAAGAGTTTCAATGTTTTTCAGCCTAAAAAAAGAAAAGATTTAAATTTGATAGCAGCATACTCGTTTTCAGAATGAAATAGATGCAAGAGAAAAACACAGAATAATATAAAACAGTATATATTCAGAATAATTTAACACTTCATACCTTCCCGAATCATCTTCAATCTTTTCAAATGTGCGAGCAACAGCCAAATATGGCACTCTGAGAAAGGGATAGAGAAATAAACAATGAACTTTCAAAGAAAACGTGTCATACTTTATTGCTTTTGAATTAAGGTCTTTGTTAACAACAAAGACTATAACTTTAGATGAATAATTCATTTCACTTTCTCGATCTTTTAATGATCGAACAAGAGCGCTGACATTTTTGTAAGACAATCCGAGCCTGACCCTAACAATTCTAACACATTTCGTTCATCAATATAATCTTCACAAATTAAGTATTAATGAATTTAGTTTAAATACAATCAACATAAATAAAACGTTAGTTAGACACTGTCCTAAATAGCACACGTCATATGTACTTTGTGCTATGTCTTAGAATAGCTGCTGTGTGCATGCAATCGTAAAGTCCACAAGACCATTGGGTGTCCCGTTTGTAATTTTAGGATCCACAAGGGCGCTCATGAGTATTGATGTCCATCCATCACAGCTAATTAAATTAACGTTTAATTGGAAATTTTGAAACGACTCGTTGACTAGTCTTACCCCCTGTCGGGGGTAAACTCAACGAGACTAGGGAGTAGAGGAATTTTCCAGTTCCGCGAGACATTTAATGTCCCCGACAACATCTGCAGTCCCATTTAACCACTTATTAGCCACTCATTTTAAGACAAGTCAAAGCAATAAAAAGCGCCTTATTTCACTGACTTTGGGACGATGAAATCGAATCTGCAAAAATGCTACTGAAACTACAGGACTCATTTGGCACTCTGTTATATAGCTAATAAAAGGCAGTTTTTACTTTTGGCCCCTGCTCCAGCAGGCATGTTCAATGGGATGGTACGGTGCTCTGGAGGGATCATACTGGCTCTCCATGGGAGACTCCACCCCCTTTTCACTGTCCAAAAAATAAAGCTCATTCAAATGGGGTCCTTCCAAAACAAACAATTATATTTTACAAGCAAAATATTCTAAGTCGTTTTGAATATTTTTGGTTTTGAACCTTTTATTCCCTTTCTGTTCAGCGACATCAGGGATTTCTCCATTCTTCTTTTTCTCTCCCACATTGCGCTCCTCCTTTTCCAGTTTTACAGCTGCCTTTCTGGGTGCTACAAAAAGATTGAAAGTCAAATAAATATGTAAAGTAAAAAATGAAAATTGCCCCCATTTAATTCCCCTTAAATATCATACAGGTTTGGGACATCATGTGGGTGAGTAAATGATGACAATTTCAATTTTGGGGTGAGCAGAAAAAAAAGAATAGGAAAAAAGGCTTACCAAAAAAGCTGCTGATGGGTTTCTTTTTGGCCGATCCCCCCTCGTCTTCTGCGTCTCTCTCTTTTTTCTCTAATCGTTCAGGACTGCTATCTTCCTTCTCTTTCTTGTCTTCTAATTTTTCTTTCTTCTTATTCTCTTCATTTATCTTTTTCTTCTGCTCATCATTTTTATCATTCTCTTTTTTCTTATTCTCTTCATTTATCTTTTTCTTCTGCTTATCATCTTTATCATTCTCTTTCATCTCATTGTTTGCATTGTCCACAACTTTACTCGTCTTTACTTCATCCTCATCTTTCCGTTCCTCCACTACTGTCTTTCCATCCGCACTCTTCTCTTCCACCTCCATCATCTCATTCTCTAAGTTGAAGAGAGAAAGAGAAAATCAATGAGGAACATACTAAGACTGTGGAAAGGATTAGGGCTGCAACTATCGATTATTTAAGTAATCGAGTATTCTACAGATTATTTCATCGATTAATCAGATTAAAAAATTGTGGTAAATAAATAAAAGTTAACAACACCCTTCAAAATTACTTAATAAATGCAATCTGTAATTTCTTGAACAAGAACATGTACAGATCAAAACATGCAAAGTCAGAGCGAGAGTTAAAACTTTTATTTTGAAAACGCGATGTACAACTCAGATGATTAAAAACGTGTTTTCAGTGCTAGCGTAGATTTCCATATGAGTTGCGTAACAAATCTTGTGAAATGGCACACACTGCATTCCCAGATGAATGTTATAACTAAGCAACCCAAACTCACAGCATGCAGAGAAGAGTTTGAAACCTGAGACGTTCCACACATATAACAGTGCAACTCTAAAACACAAACGTTCACGTTCCCAAATGCACGTTATAGGAAACCTAAACAAACTGCACATGCAGAGAGAGTTTGTGTGGAGCAGCGTTTACTGTGAACGGAGATGGGGTGATATTAAGTGGGGGTGTGCACGAATATCCGAATTTTTGAATATTCGATCTGATCACATATTTGATCACATAATGTTGTCGTCTGCATCGCGAAGTTTGGAATTACTTGAAAATGATCTTACTAAATGGATTAACTTTTGATCAAATTAGTTAATTTGAGTTATAATATTATCACCACAATGAAAAATCACATGAAATCCAAACAGTCGAATGAGGAAAGACAGCTGTCCATCACAGCTGATTAATGATTTTGAGACATATACTTCATTTAAGTTTCGTTAAGGGAGACAGGTTTAAGAACAGAAAAGGTAAAGTACTGTTAGAAACTTAGAACACCATTATCTTGTGTCTCTGAAGCGTCTTTTCTCACTCGAGGATAAATTGCAGGGGGCGCCCCTGCATGTGGATTACTGTTTTTCTCAATATAAAAGTGAAAACAATATAAACATGATAGGGATGCACCGATATGAAAATTTTGGCCGATACCGATAACCGATAAATAATTCTTTTTATTTGACAGTCGATAACTGATATATTGGCCGATATATTGAAATCCAAATTTTTTAACAATTTTGAGAGCCTGATTACAAAAACAAAAGTCTCACAATTAAACCCATGTCCCAAGCGCACGATTATAATGATGTTCTCATTAGTGTTATGTAGCCGATATGACAGATTTGCGCTGCACATGTTGCAACGAACCGTATTTTCATTTTTTGAAGAGATTTCAATCATATTTCAAGAAATTCAAAAACATAAACAGTACTCAACATTAGGGTTGCCGCGGTGAGGAAAATTTCCCACCGGTTAATCGAGGTGTGACAACACCGGTAATCCCGGTGTCACCGTGGAGGGCAGGGCGGGGGGGTTAAATAGCTTTTAAATGCGTGCGCGTTATACTTTCACTTTCGAAATAAGCGTCAATTGCTTGAATGGACAAAAAAAAAAAAAACTCGCTGATAATAAAACTTTTATTTATAGACTTTTATTAGCATAACGAACGAATAAAAATAACCCCATGCATAGGCTGAAAAAGGTGAAAATCGGCAAACTGTGGGCCCAAAAAAAATAAAACGTTTATTAACGAATAAGAAAACAAAATAGGCCTAAATAAATTAAACAAAGTTTAAATAAGATAAAACCAAATAAAAAGAGACGAATATAAAATAAAAACTTTAAAAAGGACCTTAGCCTACATAAATGACAGCACTCTAAAAAAAAGTAAAACACTATAAATTGGCATTTATTAACATTAATATATATTGGCCAAAATATTGCCAAACAGGCGCTTTTGCATTGCGTTTTGACACCAAATCTTCCGCCATTATCTTGCTTTTCTGTAATTTGACTCGTTCTCGTCTCTACACGTGCTAAATGGAATCCTGATGCTTGCTGATCTGTGATGTGACGGCACGCGTTGCCCAGTTCATTTTTAATTATAATGCTCTCTTCAGAACTAAATAATTGAAAATTATTATTTTTAATTAATTCAAATAAATATTTTAGCAAAAACGAATACTTTAAAAAAAAAAAGTCAAGACATCGCGGTGTCACGGTGGGAAAGTGATGTCACCGGTGATGGGGCTTAAAACCGGTAACACCGTCAACACCGTCTATCGCGGCAAGCCTACTCAACATGTGTCTCAGCTGAAGGGAATACTACATTATTTATCGGCTTTAATATATCGGCCATATTTTCTAACCAGGCCGATAACGATAACATTAAAAATGAACATATATCGGCCGATACCGATATGGTGGCCGATATATTGTGCATCCCTAAAACATGATAATCATATGCTGACTCCAGTGTTTGTGTATGTTCTGTACCGTATCTGGCGCAATCTGCTTTATTAGGCTTTTTTTTTTTTCGTTCGCGCTGCTTGAGCATGCTTTTATTAATGCTTTTGTTTTTTATATTTTTTGTTTACACATAGGCATACTGTTTAATGTTTTTTAACTAAAAGAACACTATATTAACATATATTGTAAGCTTGTTGTGTATATTGCCTAATTGTAAGCTTGTTCAGAAATAAACCGAAAAATATTAAAAAGTATTTTTCGTTAAACGTCATTTAAATAAACGAATATTTGAATATTCTATTTTTATGAGCCCGAATATTCTAATGTAATATTTTTGAAAAATGCCCATCCCTACATGTAATCTGCACGCATGTAAATAATTAAAGCATCGTGCTTCTGTGTGGATACAAAACAACAGCGCAAATATTTATTTAACTGAATCGCAGACATTGTGATTTCACAATAGCACTATGATATATTATGATTGTAAATGGTTTTAAATATATTGTGTAGCCTTAGAAAACAAGTGTAATGCGGATAATGGATTCTCTTCTGTAGATCCCTCCACTTCCGTTATTTTGCCAGTTACTCGACTCGGGTAAATTGCAATTGAGTTTTTTTTTTTAAATCGAGAACTCGACTTGAATCGTTCCAGCCCTAGAAAGGATATACTCATGCACAGAGATCAGCTAATCTCACCTGTCTGCTCAAGTGATTCCTCCACTCGCGCTCTCTTACTCTCCTGGCCTCCAACTTCCTCTTTCTCCTCCTCCTCCTCCTCTTTTGACCCCTCTCCATCGCTCCTGCTTTCCAGCTTCCTTTTGGGGAACTGCTTACGGGCTAGACAAAGCGATAAGGACTTTCAAATTTAAAAAGCCTGCCGTCTCATATTTGATATATGATTTTCTAAGGCCTTTAAAAATTTAAAAAAAGCCTTTTAGTGTAATTCTAAAAATATTCCATTTTCAGGTCATGGTACACATTTCTTTTTACAGTGAAATCTTTAATCATCTTTTTCCATATTCTCACCATGTCTTTTAATTCACTATAATGGCCATAAAAGCCTTTAAGTTTCAAAAACAGAACAAAACAAAGCCTGTATGCAACTTTGTTTTTAAGATTTTCTTTAACATTTTGTGTAAAGGTTCAATAAACGGTTCCATTTCAAAATATTAGATTTTTCTGAAAATTGACATAAAAAAAAACTACTGGAGCTGTTTGGGAGTATTTCGAAGAATTAAAGAGAGAATAAGTGATCAGTATTACAAGAAGGAACGTGAGAAGAGGAGACTAACACAGACCTGTTTTCCGTTTGGGAATGCCTGACGGTGATGTTGATGTTGGAGTTGCTGGAGTGCCTGAGGAAGCAGGGGTTACGACAGCAACAGAGGCACTGGAAGTGACCGGAGTTGTTGGGGTTTTGGGAGTTTTTGGAGTAACAGGAGTGGAAGAAGCCGTTGTAACATCAGAAATCTGTGGGTTTGGAGTAGGAACACATTGAAACAGAATTGTCAACAACAATCCTGACATGTTCTCATGGTTGATGGTCATGATGACTCAATTCTTACCTTCTCTGGTTTTACCGTTTGAACTTCACTCTGTTTTGGCACTTGTTCTTTAACCAGCGGCTCATCTTCATCATCACTGTCTATGATTGCTCGACTACGTTTATGAACCTTCTTTACGGGTGAATCACTTTCCTGCACGCCATTCTGAATTTTGAGGGGACTTTTAACAGGTCTGAGCAGAAAGAGAAGAAAAAAAACATTATTATGTACCATTATAACATTACCTATTTGTTTTCAGATAGTCCATAAACCATGTTTGCAATGTAAACAACTTTTTCAGCATCGGCTGAAATTGCTACACTGTTAAATTAGAAAAAAAAAAAACTTAAGCATGTTTAATTTGGAAAATGTCACTTACTCAGCCTTTACTTTGACCTGTCCATCACTCTTATCCTTGCCTTTCATTGGCTGAAAGAATGACCTGTGGGCGGGAAACAGAGATCACGTACGAAAGACAAAGTTGATACTGTAAGTAAGTGGTAACATCTTTTAAACATTTAAAGAAATAAAGCTTAAAGGAAACCCCTTGAAGTCACAGGTAGAGTGAAAACACGGTCTGTGCACCAGAATCAGACATTGCAGTTTATCATCAACACGCACAAAAAGAGCAGGACACACTCACGCTATGCTTCGCTGCATTGTTGATGTCTTGCACTGCTGATATTGAGTAAATCCAGAATATGTTTTAATATATATTCGTGTTATTAAAATTTCCGAAGCATCGATGTTTCTTCCGCGCGCTTAACTCCGTCTGATTCGGCGCCAAAGTGACGTCGTTCCCGCGGACAACAGAAACAGCGGAGTTTATTTCCTACAAAATTATTCTAGTGCCCCCTGTTGGATTGGAGTTATTGGATGCCACCGTGTTTAGTATGGAAAATCTACTGTTGTTCACTCAGATTCATTTCATTAATTTACTCATATTGCTACTGAAATAATCTATATGGATTTAGTGTACTTTTAGTTTATTGTCTCCCTGCCTTTTCTTTCCTATGTTCCCCTACAGCCTCGTTAGTAAGAGAAACCTCCTAATCATCAACAAACTAGAAATGTGCTCCTGTTAATAATTTTACAGACTATGTAGTAGGCTATATTTAATTAAGTTGGCTTGGAAAAGCCAATTTACTGATATTGTACCTAAACCTATTCTTCCTCTTCTTCTTCTGAGCCAAATTTTAGACTGTATCTCTTCCTAGACCGGTAAAGCTACGACCACCAAAATCGGGTCAGACCTTCAGACTGTGCTGACTCGAGTTGCTATATCTTTTCAGACTGATTTGAGTTTCAGTTTTCCTAAAAAAATAATATTACAAATCATAAAAATCCAATTTTTTCATTTTATTTTTTAATAAAAATATCTATGAATCTTGTGTGTAGCCTACGTGTGTGTTGTTTGTATAAATGGTTTTAATGGTTCCATTATATAGTATACATATACAGCCTGTGTATATATATATATATATATATATATATATATATATATATATATATACACTGTATATAATGGGGATTTTCAGCTATTTTTTTTTTTTTTTTGTAATGAATGACTTATCTGAACTGTGCTGATCACATTGTGATATGGTGATCATCAAATCCAAGTTTGAAAGCAGAATGAAATACACAGATATTGATTGATATTCTATATATCGATTATTGCTGAATAAAAGAATGAATGAATGAATTTTATTATTGAATAAAATAATATTTTGATATTCTTTTCAGTAGTGCTGGAATCAGTATGATTTAACATGAATGTTTTAGTTGAGTTACAGTTAGAATACTTTTGTAGAGTGTAGAATACATTTATTGTGCTATAATATATAATATATGATCTGTCTTGATTTTTAGATTAACTCAACGAGCAAACAAGGCTATCGAGTCTCAACATGCTTCAGCGTCATCATTATACACACACAATATAAAATACATACGCACGCACACATTGTGTGTGTGTGATTCTGGTCTACTTAATCAATCACTAGATTTTCTCAGAACAAACATAACAGAGATTGTGTTTAGTCACATCTAAAATAAATACTGAACATAATCATAATGAGCACAAACACACACATACTGAGATAATAATTGTGTACTTTTAGTTTCTGCATTAGTCACACTTGTGATGTAGAAGTGGTTACGACATTCTTGTGAAAATATTTTGTTGATATGTCAACCTCACAAACCTTGAGATGTTGTGGGGGATTTGTTTGTGAAACCATAGCAGCTTTTAAAGGACTGGCCAGACTAGTTCTGAGATTTTTCGGAAAGCAACTCATTTAAAATAAGTCTAAAAATGATTGCACAGCACACACAGAAATGGTTGTATTAGATGATTAAATGTCATTGATATTTATCTGTATAGCACTTTTTTTCACAATACTTATTCATGCAGTTTCAAAACGTTTCAAAGCAGCTTTACAGAACATGCATGTTTCTAGATTACAATTAAAAGTAATCTGTTATCAGAGGTGACTTTGTCAGAGCAATGTCCTTATAGTAGAAATATAGGCCTACGGCAAGGCAAGGCAAGGCAAGTTTATTTAAATAGCACATTTCACAATGGTAATTCAAAGTGCTTTACATAGAAGGAATTCAAATAATCAAAATAAATAAGAATAATTTAAACAGTTTAGAGTAAAAAATAAAAATAAAGTAATATCTGAGATGGAAGAGATTGAGCTGGTTTATGGTGCCACTGGACCTCTAGCCCAGCTAGGGACGTACTCTGCTGGGGTGGTGCTACACAAGTAATGCCCATCGGGCCTCCTACAGAGCCCGCTTCGTGTGCACTGTCTGCTACCGTTACCCTTAACGACGCTCTCTGCAACTTCTTATGCTCTCAGCTGTATAATTAACTTCTTCACTCGCCTCGGACTCTCACGCTCTCCTTCAAAACCTGTCAGATTAAAGCAGTACAGTAAAAACAGTCGGACGAACAGTGGCTCATTCAGTAAATGCATAGCTAAACAGATGTGTTTTGAGTCCGAATGTGAATGTCATAATATAAATCATGCAATTTTACATCATTCACTTACTATTACTAACAGAAAAGTTTACCTCAAGTTAAAATTCCATATGCCAATTGTGTATGCAGTGTTAAATTAAAACAGTGTTTTTAAAACAGGTCTCTTATTAAAAGGACACATTAATGTTTTTCCAGCTATTATGGGGACATCAGAGAAGGCCCAGGACCATGAAAAAGATTTAGAATGCATTTCCACTTCTATAATTACCCTTTGCCATTTTATACCTTGTTGTGAATGTATCTAATGTACGTACAACAAACAAAATACTATTTTTGGAGCATCATGACTGTCACAAATGTTGTTTCGCTTTCGTTTTTTGGTCTCCAATTGCAGTTCTGGGAAATGATGGCAGGTGATGTAATACAGGTGTGTTTTCAAAAGGAAGCACAGTCTGTATTTAAGCTCCGCTAGTTCACTTCAAGATACATAAACAAGTCATTTGTGTTTTGAGAAATTGAAGGTCTCATCATGACCATAAGGAAACTGACAGTATTTGTGGTGTTAGCAGGGATTTTCTGTGCTGCTGGGCATGAATTCGTTTCATCAACAGGTATTATTAATTATTTGAATTCAATTTAATATCAACCAATTTAATATCAATATTAATATCATATTTTATTATTTTAGTGTTTTTGTTCATTATTTATTTATCTTTATTTACATTCTTTTATTCTATGTTTTAGTGTTGTGCTGATTTTATTTATTCATTTTATTTGTGAGACACTTCTCTTAATACTTTTCATACATAATTAAATCTTCATATATTTACTCACATATTTTGAGATTTACAATCAAATTTGATTCCATTTATGACTAAACAATTATTAACTTTCTCTTTGGTTGTATAATAAAGATTTTTCATTATGGATGGAAATAAAGTATAATAGAAACACATTTTTTAAATAATTATATACAAAACTTTAAAAGTGCAAATATACTTATTTATAGATAAAGTTGCACAGCTTTTCAAGGAGGAGGAATACCTTCTGCAAAGCTTCAGTCAGTACATCGATGCAGAAGAAAAGAATTTAGAGAGATTGAAGAGGTGAAAACACTTTCATTATTCCCTATAAAAGCATCAAAGCATTTTTTAATAATATATTTTCAATTTACAGCAATAACCTGGTGAAACCAGTTGTGAATCAGTAATGTGTTTTTAGATCAAGAAATATGTTTATTTTAACCCTACAACATTTGATGAACTTCAATCCAGTGTTCTTCTGGTTCTTCAACTATTCACATACCTTGACCATGAGAACCCAGAGAGAACCATGAGAGACCCTGTGGCAGCTTACAAACTCCTCAGACGAGTGAGAGTTGAATGGTTGACTATTGTGGGATCCACTAAATTAAGTCTTTATGAAGGTGAGAGCTTATTTAAGTTCTTTGACTAAAACTTGTATCATCATTTATTATTAATAGACATAAAAATCTAGAGATTAAGGTGAATGATTATGAAAGCATTCAAGCTATTTTATTAAACGTTTCAGTTGGATCTGTTCTTGTTTATGAAAATCTTTAGTGTATCAGACAGTGCTGGATTATTCAAAGATCCCACAGCCTGAGGACGTGGATAATGCCGCTTCAGAACTGATCCGACTGCAAGAATTCTACAAACTCTACCCACACAACATCACAAGGGGTGAAATATCTGCAACAATGCAGTTTCACTTTTTTAGTTTTTAAAGTTCCAATCTGATTGATGCTTTCATTTCACATTTCTCAGAAACGTCTCTAAGTGCAGATGAAGCCTATCATATGGGGTTGGTCGCTTATAATGAGAAGAAATTCCAGCATGCCTTCCTCTGGTTTCTGTACGGTCTGGACAGATTAACAGAAAACTCAATCACTTCTAAGAAAAAGTTGCTACATTTCCTTAGTTACTCAGCCTATAATTTTGGCAGCCTACCTGTGGCAATCTACTTCAGCCAACTGCTTCTAAATCTGGGTGAGGTCATGGTGACATGAAGTTTAATACAAATATTTTATATGTTAGGTTGCATGGACTATGGAAGTCATAAGCTTCTTTTCCTCAGATCCAACCAATGACGAAGTCAAAGTAGAGTTGAGCCTTTACAAACACCTTCGCTTCAAGAGAAATTCAAATCCTGACATATTTACGTTGAACACAAAGTCAAATAACTCCTACGAGGCTCTGTGCAGAGGAGAGGTTGACGAGAGGGCAAGTACAGTGTTTACAATTTAATTAATCATTTAACATGAAACAGTCAATGTGAATCTTTGAGTCTATTATATTTTATCATATCAGACCTCTAAGAGGCAGAGGGCACTGTCCTGCAGGTACAGCACGGGTGGAGGAAACCCCAGACTGATGTACGCACCAGTGAAAGAGGAAGTGGAGTGGGATGAGCCTCGCATCATCAGATATCATGACATCATATCAGACAAAGAGATGGAGATCCTGAAGAATATCTCCAGACCTCAAGTGAATATCAAACACACACACATCAAAAAAACATTTATCTATTTACTTGTCACTATTCGAATCTTTTTAGAATCCTTTTAAAATTTGGCTTGGCAACTTATTTCTATTGAAGACAATCTATATTTGATGTTCAATTTCCCTTGTGTGGCCTACTTTAGCTTTCTAGGTCGGAGACTGTACAGGGAGTCACAAACATCCGTACTTCTCAAAGGTGATGATCTTTTATATTCACCTAAAATTAAAATTAAGCATTAACGTTATTTTAAATTTCTTATTTTAGTAACTAATTAACAATTTCAGTCTCACACTTGTTA